CGATTGCTGAGGGTTGATTGCTGAGGGTTGATTAGAGGAAAATTTCAAAGATCTACTCAAAAAAAAATTAAGCATAGTAAAAAGAGTTCCATAAAAAGGGCAACATTATATTTGTTCAGTTTCTGCTCTGTTTTAACAGATAAAAGCAACAGAAGTGGCTGAAAAAAAAAAAAAAAAACAAAAACAAAACAAAAAATGAATGGAACAGCGTCAGCCATAAAGGCCAGCCAAAAACATAAACCAAGAGCTAATGAGACAAAAAAAGCAAGCAGAAATGTACAACAAGAAGAACAGCATAAAATGAGCAATAAAACTGACTGTTCCCATTGCTGTCAGGTTGCCGTTGGTACTGTTGGTAGTAGTGATGGTGGTGGACGAAGGTGGTGGTGGTGGCGGTGGTGGTGGTGGTGGTGGTGGTGGTGGTGGAGCTGGTGGTGCCTGCGGAATCGCCGTTACTCCAGCCTCATAATTTGAGGCCATCGATGGCAGTGATTGTTGTTGTGACGGTTGTAAGAGACTATCTGCAACGTCACCAATTTGAATTACCCATTAGCTAAATTTGATCATTGATACAGTTCTGTAAAAGTAAATACGATTGTTTTTTCTTTTTTTTTTTTTGTTTTTGGCAAATATAGTGCGTTAGATGCTTCCTTTTTTCCTTTTTTTCGCAGTATCAGAAGCAATAAAAATCACTAAAAAAAAAAAAAAGTTTGCAAAAGAGGAAAAAAAAAATTTTTTTTTTTTGTTTTTTTATAACTCCTCTCATAAATACACTTTAAAATTTTTGCTTGGTTTACACTTTTAAGCTAAGAGCACTTAGTAAGAGCTTGACAAACTAGCTGCCGAAACTGCAACAACAACAGCAACAACAACAACAACAACAACAGCAACAACAACAACAACAACGGCAGCAGCAACAGCAACAGCAACAGCAACAGCAACAGCAGCACCATTACTATATTACCACCACAACCACCACGACAACCAACAACAGAAACAGCAGCAAAAACAACAACACCATCACCACCGATCGACAACAATAACAATGATTCGGGCAGTCACAGCAACGGTTCCTCAGCTTTCAAAAACGATCACCAAACACTGACTAAGGAGAATGAAAAAGCAGAAGCCAAGGAGACACTGTGGAGCAAAGGATTAAAGAACAAAAGTAATGGCAATTTTTTGTTTCTGTTGTCTCAATCTTTCATGTGGAAGTTTTATAACTCAAAATAAGTTTTTTTTTTTT